TGTCGATGATTTATCTAATGTTTTTTAGATTTTGTGTCATTTTGAACCAAAAAGTTAAAAGTATTTACACGTGACTAAAAATATGTTTGTTCCAACAAACTTCATATAACAATGCTTCATTACTTCCCATCATCCCATCTCTTTCTTCTGCTCTTGTCTTCCTGTAATTTAAGTAAACAGAATCACATTAATGATCAACTAATGACTGTCATTGTTAAAAAAAGTATTTTTTAACTTTTTCACTTTCTGCTATTGTCTTTGTATTTAGGGCTAGGAAATTTCCGCCGCGCTGCCTCAATACGTGTTGGCGAACTTCACATGCCTTCGAAATTTTCTCAGACATACAGGTTTCCTCACGATGTTTTCCTTTACCGCCGAACACGTGGTAAATCAATACTTAAAATAGCAATTAACAATTTAATTGGTGCCGGCGGGGATCGAACCCAGGTCGCGTACTGTAAAATTTACAGCTTGCGCTAACCATCTGAGCTACCACAACTTAATCATATACACACACAATATTTAAATATAATTTGTTAACACTAAATCATACACTCGTAAAAAAATAACAGAAAGAAAAGTAAGTTTGTCAATAGAATAAACACTTACATCCATGGTCTTTAATGCGTTGAAGTAACAAAAATGTGGTATTGATGGATCCACTGCTGTCAAACGACCATACACTAACTCCATGACTGCAGCTGCTCGGTCTTATATAGCACCAGTAAGTAATGATTCCAATCTAAATAATTTCTGCAGTGAAACTTATAGTAACTTTATGCGTCAACAAGCTTATCTCACATTCTGCTATATATCTCAACATTCCTTCGTGTTGCGTCTTGCTCGATGTATCGATGACTCAAATACGATTTGGATATCACATAGAATGCAATTTAATATTTAGAAATCACTATAATTGATCATTCCTATATTAGTCATTGAGTAGATTGGTACTGTAATAATCTACTAATAGCAGTAATATTATGGATACACTAGATGTACAACAACATCTGAAAAAGATTCACCCCACTCTAGAAAATAATGTTTATGCTGCTAATAGACTGCCCATGTACACCCACGTACCAACGTATATAATATGCAATTTGGATACAGATGATAAACCAGGGTCACATTGGGTAGCTTTATATATTGATAGGAATGACGTCGGTCAATATTTTGATTCATATGGACGATCACCTGTACGATATCATCTAGAGTTTTTTTAAAAAGGAATTGTAAAAGATGGAACTGGAATGTCGATAAGATTCAGAATGAGTGGACTTAAATAATGCGTCTTAAATAATGTTAAAGTGGTAAAAGTTACACAGAAAGAAATTTTAAGCTTTATAAAATATATGAATAACATCCCAAATAATAAAAGATGAGCGTATTTAAACGTTGAAAGAAACCAGCTAGTTAGCCTCACGTACACCTCCTTCATCTGAATATATTGAGATGATTCTTTAAATAGCTCTTATTTGGTGCGTTATTAGAGCATAAGCAGGCGATTGAAGTTGAAGTCGTGAAAAGAATAATATACATAGGCATAGGCAGTCATGGAGAACATTTGGCCAATATTTTACATGAAAAACACGTTTTCTGTGTGTACTGTAAGGAATATTTTACTTGATGTACGTCCTCTGGCCCGCAGTAGTGAGTCGTGCTTAGAAGAAATCTGCCTATATGCTGTCTAGTGGTTACATTATCTATGGGAGATACTAACCAAGAGCTCGGGCCAGTCGGGATCAAATCCAGTCCGAAAGAGAGGCTATGATTGAGCGTGTGAATCTCACACTACAGGCAGTCTCCGAATAGGGCGAGGCCAATCTCGTGAGATTCACCGCCTCCAAAACATAAGCGTGTACTCTCACCGCTAAAAGGAACCCGCTCACCCTGGCTCCTACTTTCCGGAATGTATCCTTGGAGTACACTGACCGCCTTCAGTTGTTAGGGGTTGAATTTTATCCGAACCTCTACTATGGGCGGTTCATTGAGTCCAGAGCCAAAGCAGCCGCAAGGAAACTTGGTGTTCTTGCAAGGGTGCGGCGGTACTTCACGCCGGGACAGCTGGACTCAATACAGAGACGTGTTAAGAGGCTCATTGGTGACCTTGATTTGGTTGAAACCAACCTTGTTAGTCTCGAGCACAGGCGCAGAGTAGCCAGCCTCTCGGTATTTTATAGGATGCATTTCACAGAGTGTGCGCAGGAATTGCATGCTTTAATTCCTCCCTCTTCTTTCCACCATCGGACGACCAGGCGGTCGGCGGGTCTTCCCCCTTTGTCCGCCATTAGAACCAAACGTTTTACTTCGACGTTAATGGTTACAGCAAAGAAGTGAAATAATTTACCGGCGTCTATTTTTCCGTCCGAATACAATCTGGGCATCCTAACAGCAAGAGTGAATATGCAGAAATTTGTCACTCTTAATGCAATCAATTATTAATAATAGATAAGGAATTTAAAATTTTTTTTTTAAATTTCTTGCTTGCTAATGTGTTAGGGAAGAATTGAACGTTTTTTAAGCATTCCAAAAATAATAAGAGTGGTCTGAAGAAATGACGTGCACGTTAGACTATGGCACGGTAATATTATGTATATATATTACCGTGGTTATACTGTGGTGCTGCAACGGACTCTTTGGTCGATTGCGACGCGCCCACGATTACATAAACAAAGTCGGTATTCTATGTCTAAACAGAACGGGGAATTCTCAGATCTCAGCCTTTGTCGCCACGAGGCGGGGATTCTCCGCTATAGCAACGCAAACTAATGTTGGTAGACTAAATATAAACATATTTAGTTATGTAAATAATATCGATTTATGACAAGTTAAATTTTTCAACGCGTTCACGGTTTTAAGTAATGCATTAACGTCTAAGGCGCGGGGCCCCCAGGACAGCGAGGCCGTAGGCGGTAGCCCACGCCGCCCACGCCTTTCGCCACCTCTGAAAACTCGGTCATACAATTTGATCTTTAAGAGAGATCTTCCCTGAGGTACTACACCTAAGGTAGGTTACCTTAAAGTAAGAGTAATTTTATGTATGTTTTGTAAAGGCGTTATGTCTCTGCGCCATATAAAAGAACGGGGATGATTAGCGCCTTAATTAAGTTTTAAGAATTGCAGACACGAACAGTGAGTACCCCGGAATTGACAGCAGAATTAGCATTACAAGATGGTTCTCCTAAGCCGAGCTGTTATGTTGCTTCCACGATATTTAAATGTAGTGATCTCAGCTAATGGTTTCCCTTTAATGGTTTCCCTTTTTAATTTAAAGCTTTTGGTTCGTGTTACAACTATACTACTAAGTACTAACATAACTGTAGCATCGATCTACCACGTATAAAAACATCGACGTAATGCGTAAACGAAGCTTTCGAGATGCACCATACTACATATTTTATAGCAAAATGGTGATAATAACGTGACTCATAGCCATCTAAATCTATCCTCGATAAAGGATCAAAATGCAGATGCTTCGTCACCCCTGAGAACTAAGATGGAATTCCTCGTTTCCAGTAAAAGGGGTATCCGCTACACTCACTATACAAAACACACGCTGGTATTCTATGAGCGCGTGGTCATTCATTGTGTTATAGAACTATAATATAAGTAATAAACTGCCTCGTTGGTCTAGTGGTTGTAGTTGTAGTAGTGCGACTGCTGATCATGAGGTCCTGTGCTCGAATCCCGGGTTGGGCCAAAAATTAATTATTGAGTTTTTTCGTCAAGAAATTCTCAGTAGTTGCCCGGAGTCAGAAAGTTGGCGGTGTCTCACCCGTGCCTCTTAAAGCACGTATTTATAATAATAATGTCCTCCAGACCGAAGTTCGGCAACGACGGTCTGCCTCAACGGAGGCTAGTCATCTGCGCAGGACAGGATTATAGTGCTCAGGTGTGTACAGGCATAAGTGCACTCTCAATTCCCTCGCTCTCATAGTCCGGTGGAACGGTAAACCGACAGAGAGATCAGGCGCAGGACCAACGGCTTTACGTGCTTTCCGAGGCACGGGATAGAACTATAGAACTGTAATATACCTCCGGCATGGCTCTACTACGTATAAACACGGTGATGCCAAGTTTAGATTGCGCACACAACGACTAAAGATACGAGTCATTGTCGTTACATTTTCCAACGCCACGTTTGCTAATGACAAGTGCGTTAATATCTCCCAACAAATTATTCTAAACGTGATTTGGAACGTCTTTAAGAGTTTGGCGAAGTTATAATAATAATAATAACTTTAGATTTACCAAAACTAACATATATTCAATTACAAAAAGCAGTTTTACTTAATACTTGTAGAATAGTTAGAACATTTATCTCTACAGAAAACCACCCATAACCAAACAAGTTCATGGTATCCACTTGGCTTTGTCCCGTGGTAATAACCATTAATCCGGTTTTGTTAAAAACAAACTGAGAAAACGTAGAAAATATAAATAATAATAATAATAATAATAACGTAGGCGTAGGGAAGTGACGACCCCATCGCCCGCTGACGTAACGGTTATGTGACAAAACCGCTACGTCAGCGCAGTCAGTCAGCACCTTGCCAAGAGGTGTTAGTGCCGTGCCTCGGCAAAAATTGAAGGTGCAAAGGCCCGCTTGTGCACATGGCCTCACCATGAAACGACGCCGGGTCTGGGCGTCTCCCGCTAAGTGACGCCCACCACTATGGATGATGGAATACGGAAGAACGCGCAAAGGGCCGCTGCCTGGAGGTCGCCAGGGCGCGTCTGGAGCTGGCGCTGGACGCGGCAGCATGCGAACCGCCAGCCGAGCGCGAGGTGCTGCACGACCACCCAGCAGCCCCTCGCATCCATCATCCCCACCAGCTGGCTTGGTGTCGGCAGGGTCTTCGCGGGCCCAGCAATCGGCACCCGCCTCTGGTGGAGTACGCCGCATGCGTTGGACATCCCAGATGAACAGCAACGCATTGCGGGCGTATTTTGGGGCGAAAGGGGGAGAAACTGGATGTTTGGCGTATCGGGCTAGGATGCATCGTCTTTTTGCTGAGCTGGAGCCATCTTTAACCGTCACAGAGCAAAACCTGGCAGACCGAGTTCGGTATATCTTGCGCTCAAATATATTTGATGTCGCCGAACTCGAACGGCTACGACGTGAGGCTGTTCCCTCGTCGGATGAGAATGCTACGGCTGAGGATGCGGCGCCACAAATGGTAGAGCAACCCGCAAACGTGGATGCCGCCGTGAATACCCCAGTTGTGGTTGATTCAAACGATGATGGAACAGTCGCCCAGGAACTGGAATTAGAGCATATGAGGAGTACATTGGAAGAGGCGATTGTGGAAACGCGCAGTACGCCTCTCGAAAATCGACCGCGACTTCCCCCGCATAGCCCTAAGCAAGCGGAATCGGGCTGTCGTGAGGGCTCTGAACCCAATGCTGGTGACCTATTTGGAAGCCAGCCGGGACCTTTGCGAGACGGACTCAATTCTTTTTGGCGCCGCGCTGGCAGTCTGCCGTATCATAGGCGCCAAGGTTTCCACGGCTGGACGCGCTACTGGCCATAGTAGCGCTATCCCAGCATGGAGAAGAAGAATTGAGGAACGTATCGCAAAGGCTAGAGCTCTCATCGGCAGACTGATATGCTTCAGATCAGGCAACAACAGGCCAAGAATTGTGCGCACCGTCAGGATGGCGTTTGCTGGGACAAATGTCAGTTTGTCCCAGCCGGATATAACGCAAAAACTGACGGAGCGCATAGATGATCTGAAGCAGAGAATCGCTGCTTGGGGAAAACGGATTCGGCGATATACCGAGAGGTCGACACGGTTCAACCAGAATCGTCTCTTCCAGAGAGATCAGAAGAGGCTCTATGAATCATTGGAGCGACCAATGGTAAGTGGAACTGGTCCAGCACCGAATCAGGCCGACACTGTAGCATTCTGGCGCGGCCTGTGGTCAGAGCCCGTAAACCACAGCGAGGGCCCTTGGACGGAAGTTGTGGCGAGTCAGTGTGCGGGTATTACGCCCATGGACCCCGTCATCATAACGCCGGATGACGTAGCTGAGGCGGTCCGTAGGGCCCCGAACTGGAAAAGCCCGGGGCTTGACGGGCTGCGTCACTACTGGCTGAAGGGGTTCATGGTGTGTCACTCTGTGCTTGCCCGACAGTTTCAAGAGGCTCTCAACCAGAAGTCGCTCCCAAGCCTCTTCACTACTGGGATCACTCATTTGGTTCCTAAAGACCAGGGTACCACAGACCCGAGCAAATACCGCCCCATCACGTGTCTACCGACCATATACAAGACACTAACATCCATTTTGAGCGCGAGAATCACTTGTCACCTGGACTCAAATCAGGTGATGTCGCGCGCTCAAAATGGATGTCGGGGCGGTGGTCGTAGAAACAAGGAACTACTCCTCATTGACACGGTCTTTGGCATAGTGGTAAAACGCAACCGTCGGAACTTCTCCGCCACCTGGATAGACTACAGAAAGGCATTCGACTCCGTGCCCCATACATGGCTAAAGAGAGCCTTTTGTCCGGTGTGAATAAGTCACACGCATATAACTGCTGGGTCATGCCTGTCCTCATGTATACCTTTGGCATACTCAGGTGGACTCAGACTGAACTTATGGAAGGAGAAGGAGCTCCACGGGAGGTACTACAGGGCTCTTCATGAGCCCTTCGTAGATACAGTCGCCTCCCTCAACAGGCTACGTTTCGGTGACCTCTTCGGGGAAATCGAGGGTTTTGTCTGTGCAATACAGGATCAGGTTATTAAGACCAACAACTATCGGAGATACATCCTAAAGGATGGTACCGTCGACGACTGTCGAGCTTGTCGCCATCCCGGTGAGTCGCTTAGGCATGTCATCTCCGGTTGTTCGGCGCTTTCTAACTCTGAGTACTTGCACAGGTACAACCTAGTAGCCAGAATTCTATACCAGGAGCTCGCTCTGAAATACGGTCTCGTGGACCGGAAATTGCCGTATTACAAGTACTTGCCGGAAGCCGTGCTCGAAAATGACCGCGCCAGGCTCTACTGGGACCGGGCCATCAACACAGACAGGACTATTCTTGCGAATAATCCTGATATTGTGCTGATGGACCGGGCACAGTCAAGGATAGTTTTGGTCGATATTACCATCCCGTATGACGAGAACCTCATGAAAGCCGAAACAGATAAGCAATCAAAATATCTGAATCTGGCTCACGAGGTGACCGACATGTGGAGTGGTCTACCGACCGAAATTATTCCTGTAGTCGTCTCTACAAATGGGCTAATCCCAGTTAGCCTCTCTGGTCATCTGAGGCGACTGGGACTCCGTGACGGACCGCTCCGGGCTCAAATGCAGAAGGCGGTGCTCCTTTATACTGCCCGCATCGTCCGCCGGTTTCTTTCCCTTTCGCCCTAACCCTCGGCCGTTTGGTCTCCCCCTGCCGAGGGCTTCCATCTGGTTGGGCTTTTATTTATTTATGTATTTTTGTATTTATTTTATTTTATTGATATTTATGTATATTTATCTTTTCATTTTAATTTATAATTATATATTTTTAGAACCCAACCAGGTGAGAAAATTACATAGATACCCCAAATAATAATAAAAGTCTTTATTTGTTAAAAAAATTACATATTCATCAACATAAACAAATCTTATTATGCTAGTTGGAGACAGACCCTGGTATTCTGCCATAGCCTAAACATTCGCGCATGGTAGTATCTTATCTTAAAATTATAATAGATTGTAAGCTTTTGTGCAGCAAAATAAAACCTTAACGTATGTGTAGTTTTTGAAAGAGCCTTTTATTAAACAAGCTTGTAGTCAGTTAGTGCCAGTGACTGCCTGTGGAGCAACCAGTCGCGACTTTTTTTGCGGAACGTCGGCAGCGAGTGCTTTAATTGTTGCTTTAGTTGTTGTTTAGTAACTGGTGCTTTAGTTGTTGGTAAAATGCCCCTTATCCTCATCAGGGTAGGGACGGTGCTTATTAAAATTACGTATTTGTTACGCTATTGGCAAGCGCAGAGTCCTGAGTCGGTTATGAACACGAACACGTACTATTTGACAAAGCACGCTTGCCAAACGAAGATTGCATTTGTCTATGCCCAAGCACCCATGGTTAGCCACCTAGATGGTTGTAGGACACTTGGGCTACCTTTTTTAGACCTTCTTTGTGCAAAACGATCGTATTTATTTAATATGCATGTATTAAATATGCATATATTTAATATGTAAAATATGCGTTACCTTATACTAAGTGGCGCGTCTTGGGAGCCGCCTATGTGGAGCAGTGAACTGTCGCAGACTTGATGATGACGATGATAATGAATGCATTGTCGCCTGTTGCGCTGGTGAACCCAGATAGACCCACAGTAGACTACGGAAACGACCACTCTCTCCTGGGTGTTAGCAGCTCAAATCTGAAAAGAATAGCTGGAGCCATCTGCGCGTGAATTTATTTATAGTGGACAAACGGTTCCGCGGCCCAAAGGTTCTGTCAACAGGTAGGATCAACAATAGTCAAGATGTAGCAAAAGATGAAAGTAAGTTACTATAGAGAACGACCACCCTTGAAGTTATTCGCACGACTCTGTACAGCCTCCTGGAGCCGCTAATGACGAGATTGGTTAGTTTAAGACGCATCAAACGCTAACACTACATCCAAATTACCTTCGATAAGTAGTAGATGAATTAAAAACCAATTGAAGTGAATGTTTGTTCTATAGAAATATTAACTTGTTCTAATGCGGGGCGCGCGGGGACGTGTCGACGTGGGTGCGGTGCGGGGCGATGGATGAATTTACTCGCCGCCCGCAACATCCTCCCCCGGCGTAGTCTACGAGCCCTCTTCTTTCGGGAGGACGGCGATCTTCCTGACCGGCCTCCTCAGCAAACCGCCTCTCGTCCTAACTTCGACGTTCTGAACCACTCCATCTGGTCCGGAAAAGGTTCTTGTGACGACTCCTCTTGGTCATACGTTCCTCGGGAGGTTGCCGCCTGCTATGATGACAAGGTCTTTTTTGATCTGGGGCTGCTGAGTGTTTCTCGATTCCCCTCTGAGCATCAGGATCGGTAGGTACTCACGAACCCAGCGTCGCCAATATTCGTCGGCCAGTCCTTGTGCAGCCCTCCAGGTCCGTCGATCCGCTGATGAACACGTCGCGGTGATTGGCATGTTGGATGGTCCCAACAGAAGAAAGTGGTTGGGAGTCAGGGCTTCCTCGTCGTCAATCCCGACTGGCACGTGAGTGAGAGGTCTGGAGTTTACAGTGTTCTCAGCCTCTGCCAATAGCGTTATTAATGTTTCTTCCTTGGGGCTCTTTTGATGAAGAGTAGTCTCGAGCGCTGCTTTGATGGAACGCACCAATCGTTCCCATGGGCCTTCCTGGTTGAGCGCACCCGGTGCGATGAACTTCCACTCCGTTCGATGAGTAAGCGCTGAGTAAGTCCTTCAGCTGCGGTGCCCACCCCTCCATGGCCCTTCGTAATTCGGTGTCTGCTACGTGGAAATTGGTGCCTTTGTCTGAGTAACCCTAGGCCACCTGCGTCTAGCCGCCATACGCCTAAGTGCCATTATCGCCGAGTCCGTGGTTAAGCCATATACCAATTCTACGCGTACCGCGCGCGTCGTAAGACAGGTGAATAACGCAACCCATCTCTTCTCATGCCGTCGCCCTGTAGTTACAGTTAACGGCCCGAAATAATCTAATACGGTATACGTGAATGGTCGTCAACTCTTAACCTCTCGGGAGGCAAGTCTCCTGTAACCGCCGGTAGTGGTGCTGCTTTCCTAACGCGACATCGCATACACCTTTTTTCGATTTCCCTAACCGTTGGTCGCAGTCGAATAATGTAGTACTTTCTTCGCAAGTCGTTGACTACTCGTTCTCTGTAGGCATGGCTATCCGAATATATTATATTCTATGAATTTATTATATTTTTATGAAGTCCTGGTGTGCCTTCTCCACGAGCATCTGTACGAACCGGTGTCTGCCGTTCAATATGACCAGTCATTTCGTTTGATTTTCCACAGCGGCCGCATCGATTCTACCTCTTGCTCTTAGTATTCCTTGTTCGATGACCGGGTCGAGCCTTTTCAGTGCACTGCCGTTGTGTAAGTCTCTGCCTTGGTAGAGCCGAGCGATGTCATCAACGAAACTCTCCTGCTGACTCTGCGCTACCCATAGCTGCTCTGCCTTTTCAATATGTTCTAGTCTTAATTCTTTAGCTCCTCCTCGAAGCATGTCGACGAACTGTATGACTCATGCCGTAGCTCTGATGAGTCTCTCGTATGAAGAGAATCTCGTTATGTCTGGCAGGTGTGGTGCTCCCCTTATTTCTCGCTGGTGCGCCACGATTTCCTCATATTCCTCGCCTGCCCTTTCTTCCGGTTGCTGTGGCCATTCTCCTTCGTCTTTATATAAGAAGTCCGGTCCGGTAAACCACTTATCGTTTGCGCTCTTCGTTACGTAATTTGCTCGCGTCGCTTCATCTGCTACGTTGTGAGCCGTTGGTAGCCACTTCCATTGGTCGGGTGATGACTTTTCTCCTGTCTCCCCGAGCCTATGTGCGACGTATGGAGCGTAACGCACCGTGTCATTTCTAATCCAATGGAGCGCCGTTGTAGAGTCTGTCCAGAACACTACCCTATCCGCTCTCATCCTATGCTCGCTTTGTACGAATTCAGCAAGTCGTACACCTACTAAATTCGCCTGTAATTCGAGTCGCGGTATGTTCTGACTTTTAATCGGAGCGACTTTCACTTTGGCCGCTACTAACGTGACTCGTATCGTACCGTCGCGATAACGGATACGCCAATAAGCTGCGGATGCGTATGCACTTTCACTCACGTCACTAAAAATATGCAATTGACGATTTACTACTCCCCCCGTAGGAGCATAACACCGCGGGAGATATAACCGTGATACATTCTCAACGGCTCGCCACCATCTCGCGAATTCGTCCGCGGCCTCCTCGGGAAGTTCATCATCCCAACCGATTCTCTTCATCCGCCACAGGTCTTTTAGCAGAATCGTAATGGTGAGGTAGCTGAGCAGCCCTAGTGGATCGAAAACGGACATAACCGCGCTCAGCGCCTCCCTCTTAGTCGGTGGACGGTGTAGTAATTTAACGTCGTGCGG